ATATATTTCGCTATCACAACGATCGGAGTCAGAATAGGTGGCAACCCTAACATACTGAATTGAAGCCAACATGCTGTATATGTGTGTGAAACCCAGTGGTCTGCAAATGTATCCATATGACATTTTACATAATAAAGACACCACCAACCAGGTACTGTAATCCTGAGGTCACTAACCTGTGGCATCATGGAAGTGCCGCACACACGTATCCATTGTAGCAATGCTGCCTGCCAGTGTATGTGTCCCTGCATAACAGAAGGAAACAAAAAGCTACATTGTATTTGAGTTGGAAACCTTCATCAGTGCTAGACAACGACTGGACAGTGACCCGGCAATAAGATCTTTTGCACTGAATACCCATGATAGTCTCCAAGAAAGAAAAGGTGGTTATAGTCCACGGAAACCTGTCATGCATTGAGGCTTTTCCCAGCACTCAACACAAGAATATAATTCCTGATCTTTGCTGCCCAGCCATGTTCTTGACCTGAAACAAGCGTGCAGATGGTGAACTCAGAACCTGCATGCTTCTTTCAGGTCCATTACCTCATTAAGCAAATAAGTCAAAGTTTTTGTTCTAGGTCTGTGATTTCACTGTTAATGAAGCAAAGGTTTTATGTTTTAGGTCTGTGATCTTGTTAGTTCAGGAGCGAAGGTTTCTGTTTTAGGTCTATGAATTCACTAGTACAGAAGCAACATTTTATGTTTTAGGTCTGGGATCTCACTAGCACAGGAGCAAAGGTTTTATGTTTTATGTCTGTGATCTTTCTAGTGCAGAAGCAAAAGTTCTTGTTTTAAGTCTGTGATCTCACTAGTACAGGAGCGAAGGTTTTATGTTTTATGTCTGCAAGCTTTCTATTGCAGAAGCAAAAGTTCTTGTTTTAAGTCTGATGCATCTAGTCCAGATGCAACGGTTATTGTTTTAGGTCTGTGATCTCACTAGTATAGAAGAAAAGGTTTTTCGTTTTAAGTCTGATCTCACTAGTACAAAAAAATACTATTGGCTTTACATAAACTTTAATCCTTTACAAATGGGTCGCTAAGATTCCATATCTGTTTACGGGCAAAGAGACGAGTTTGCAGTGGTCTACTCACCAGCCACATAGGCATTAAACCCATCAATGAGGATTTCCTGCTGGCCCAGAGTGTGTTTACCAGGTCCAAGACCCATGGCTGTGATGGCGTCTGTCACCAGAACCAGACCTGCAATACACAAGATATATCAAATGTGTGTTTCTGCCTGAAAATGATCCCACTGAATGTAGAAGAAAGGAGGAGAGACATTGCCGATTCAAGGAAATCTCATTTTTGCATTGTGTTTGCTGTTGCTGGTGATGACACAGAGAAAGGTTCCCCCCAATCTAATCAACCTCAACCCCAAGTTGAATAGAGCTTTATCTGGACTATTAAACGGAGTGTGCTTCTTCACACACAATCCCCCAATTTAATCACAGCACACTCACCATTAGGGTGTGCGCGGTGTGCAATCCTGAGTGCAGCAGGGTTTGTGTGGATTCCATCTGCAATCATCCCATAATAAACTGTCCTCCCAGGTGGAATGCGGTCACTTGTCAACAGCCCCACAATGCCGGGATCTCGGTGGTGGAACTGCAATGAAATGTTCACGGTTAGCACAATTTAGGTTATTCATGGCTGAGTTCAGCAAACTGCCATAAGACAATTCTCCTAATAGGTGCGTTTCCACTGTAAAGCTAGCTAATCATTATCTAACCTGCTTTAAACCCCCATATGATCCCTCCCCCCCGGAATGATCTGATCACCCACATTTCTACAAAGCTCTTTGTAATATTTACCCCCAGCGGGTGCCAGTTCCCAATCACAGCTGCTTCTGCAGGTCACATGTTCATTGCAAGAGGGAAGAGATCTGTATACTGATCGGTTGGGTTTGCCTGAGTGTCACCCTTTGAAATCGATCATCTGCGCCGCTGGTGCAACTTTGCTTACGAGGCATTAAATGGAGCTGCTCACAGATGAGATTCACACAACGTTTTGTAGCAGGTTATGTGATAGGACATCAGCAAAGAGGATCGAGGGAGGTAAAACAGTTTAGACTTCAGGTCCACTTTAAAAGGGTGTTGTTGTCTGTTCTGTTGAAGTAGGGAAGCGTGTTTTAACTCCAGAAATGTCTTTTATTAGCCATTCTAGTGGGACTACCCCGTACTGCAAGGGTGAAGTGCTCATTTTTGTATATTATCAAAAACAACAAAGTTATACTCACCCGAACTGCATTCCCGGTTGGCTCTTACACCGCTTCCTCCAGCCTGCCTACCCCCTCTGCTCCAGTGATGGAATGTTCCTCGACGTCCTATACACTATATAGTACATAATGACTCACAGGAACTTAGACCGCTGCAGCAGAGAGGGAGAGAGGCTAGAAGGTACTGTCCAACATCCAGCCGGGATCGTGGTTCGGGCGAGTATAATTATGTTATTTTTGTACCTAGACAAAGTGAACACTTAACCCTTGCAGTGCTTGGGTAGCCCCAATGCGAGGGCTAAGACTTGATTTGCCTGGCGTTCCTTACACAAGGAAAAGGTCGTATGACTGTAAACTTCGGATGTCAATGAACTCTGATAAAAATTATGGTCACTTTTTTGAAAATAATTACTGTCATCTTGGTGTGTTAGTTTTGTGAATTAAGCCTAATGAGTGTGAGCATATTGTCAGTGAATAGCATGAAGATGTATTTATAAAAAATTTGCAGAGCCATTTGTCCTGCAAAGCTGTATGTATATTTATTCTGTCCGAATATGGCAATACAAATGTAATTAGTATATTTTCCTTCCAGGTCAAATTTATAGGAGAACTATGAGATGAGTGCTTGTCACTCACCTCATAGTTCTAGCCGACCTGTGACAATGAGACTGTCACAGGTCGGCTCAGTAGATCGGGAGGTGAGCGAACACATACCGGCGTTCGCTCACCTCTCGATCCTGTCACGGCTCTCTGCCGTGACAGGGGAGGGGCTGGATTCCCCGCTCCGCTAGCGCTGACTGGCGGAATGGACGGGGGAGGGG